GCTGTTAGCATGCGCGCTGTTAGCATGCGCGCTGTTAGCATGCGCGCTGTTAGCATGTGCGCTGTTAGCATACAACGGTGCATATTTACTCCAGTTGTGTTTAGATAATGCAATCAGTTAAATTGGTTCCATGGCATCACTTATTGCTCTGAAGTTCAATATTTAAGGCTCTTTTAAGGCGTGGTCTGACCCGGCTGGCTGGCTCCGTGCCTCGCAGGCTTCATCGCGTCGGACATGACGTCCCGCAACTCCAGCACCCAGCTCTGGCTGATCACTCACTTCCACGAGCCGGGCTCGCTGTACGACTACCTGCAGCTCAGCACGCTGGACGCCTCCGGCTGCCTGCGGATGGCGCTGTCAATCGCCAGCGGCCTGGCACATCTCCACGTGGAGATCTTCGGCACGCAGGGCAAGCCGGCCATTGCCCACCGCGACCTCAAGAGCAAGAACATCCTGGTAAACAAGACGGGTCAGTGTTGCATCGCTGACCTGGGTAAGTGTGGCGCAGCAGGGGACAGGGGGACAGATCTCAATTCTGACTATGACCATGAAATATGAGCAAATAGCAATGCCTGAAATGCAATTATGAAGCAGAACTTCATAATTACCTACCATTGGAGGACATCTACATCCATAACTTAAAGGTTAATGTTCTGCACACTTATGTTTGGTAGAAATCTGCAGTCTGGTACCTCACCCCACCTTGCCCCTTCATTACACCCCCCACTAATCCCCCATCCCCCCTCCCCAGACGGCACACTGTGCAGAACTGTGCTGAACGGAATCCAGTCTGCTCCTTGTGAGCTGATCAGGGCTGTGCTTCTGACGCAAAGTCAACAGTTATAAACCGATTAAAGAAAGAAACCATCCATGCAATGTTTGCACTGCACATTTCAGCAGATACCGTGTGACGACAGACCTGTAAAGTAAACAGGAGGGCACAACGACAATTAACATGTTAATTTCAGGATCAGCAATAATGATGGATTGTTTGTATTTTAAATACAGTCAAACCTTGGATTGCGAGTAACTTGGTTTGCGAATGTTTTGCAAGACGAGCAAAATTTTAAAATAAATTTTAACTTGATAAACGAGTGAGGTCTTGTAATACAAGTATTACGTATATGCTTTATCTGCCGAGCGTCACGTGATCACAACTGAGCCGATGGTTCTTCTCTCTCTCACTGTGGGATTGTGGGTAATTGTTTCCCATGCTTGGTCTCAGTCGGCGTCCCTCACTCGTATAGTCAAAATTTAGTAGAAAAGCACCACCCAAATAAGGCCGTAGCAGTGCAAGCGATGAATCTGTTTAACGACAATGCAATGTCACATTTCCGCAAAATCGAATAGGAGGCAAAATCAGCTGTCATTGGATAGGTTCCTTGTTAAAGTCACACAAAAAGAAAAAGATTCCAGTGAGCCAACAAATAGCAGTGATTCCGTTAGTTATAGTGAAAGTCGTCCTACAAAATAAACCTCCTCTTCTTCTCTCTCTCGTCTCCCTCACACCATCCACCATTCTTTTCAAAGGTATAGTGCAGGTTAATTTGTATGTATTTTTTACTTTATATTTTGTATTAATAATTTTTTATGAATATTTTTGGGTTGTGGAAAGAATCATCTGAGTTTCAATTATTTCTAATGGGAAAATTCGCTTTGATAAACGAGTGCTTTGGATTACGAGCACGTTTCTGGAACGAATTATGCTCGCAATCCGAGGTTTTACTGTACTTTCATGGTGGAGCCACAAGGGGGCAGTAGGGAAGTAAAAACTGCTGTATTGGTTTCAGCTCCAAATGCATCTCAGGGAAAATTTCTTAGCTTGTGATAGCAAAAGTTACCCAAGCATGTTCAGGGTCATCCCCCGTTTGCAGAAACTCGCAGTTAAGAAGTGTTTCAATTAAGGCACCGTAAGTGAGTTTAAAAGTGTCTGTGTGAGATTTAATTTTCAGTTCTTTGTCATTGTACACGACTACAATGATATTGGGATAGCAACCGGGGTCTCCAGTTGTCTGGAGTGAAATTTTCATTGAGAAGTCTGCATAGGCATTTACATGTATGTAACAATTTTATTACCATGTAAATAGTCTTGCAAACTACCCCAAACGGTCTGATGTAGCTAATTTTAGGTTTATGATGGAATAATATATATTTGCCGTACAATTTCGTCTGTGTCACGCCAGATGCGTGAGTATTGGCAACTCTGATAGCAAACAAAACACAAGCCAAGACATGTAATATTTAACTGTAGTTAATAAATATGTGCCAAGTACAAATGGATAGGTAGAATAAGGTGATGTGGTGCTTTTTTTTGGGGGGGGGGGTTCAGCCTGGCTACCCCATTGGGATACTGTTCTGGTAGGGTGGCTTGACTGCCCTGTGTCTTCTGCCTGATGCTAACAGTCCAAACAAATGATGTCCAGGGTGTGTGTGTGTTTGTGTGTGTGAGAGAGAGAGAGGATGGATGAGCCATTTGCCCCTTTGCGTTCCTGTTAATGATGCCCCCCCCCCCACTTTCTGTTGTAGGTCTCATGTTGACCTTGTAGCTGTGTGTTATAATTCCTGTTACCCGTCGTCTTCTAGGCCTGGCCGTGATGCACTTCCAGGACACCAACGAGCTGGACGTGGGCAATAACCCGAAAGTAGGCACCAAGCGCTACATGGCGCCTGAGATTCTAGATGACAGCATCCAGACGGACTGCTTTGAGTCCTACAAGAGAGTGGACATTTGGGCTTTCGGCCTGGTGCTGTGGGAGATCGCCAGGAGGACTGTCAGCAATGGTTGGTGATTTTTGTCCTTGTGTGGCCACCGTAGACTTCCTGTGTGGGAATGGATGCAGCCTGATTTAAAGGTTTAAATACCGTTATTTATTCAGGCTAAGGGATGGACTGTCACCCCTGTTTGTTAAACTAAGGTTGCTAGTAAATTAAGGGCTCAGCAATCCACGTAGTTTTAATGCTAATATTGACTGCTAGATTAAGCTGTTGCTACATTATGGTTCGGCTGTGAGTTTAACTATATTGCCAACCGTTTTGCTGCAGAGACCCTCCTCTAGCAGACCTTCAGATCTCTGTGCCCTGACTGTTTCTGTGCACACGGAAGGACCTTTTCGATGACATGCTTCCATTTCTCCGGGTCCCTTCTGCTCAGGGATCGTGGAAGATTATAAACCGCCCTTCTATGACGTGGTGCCCAGTGACCCCAGCTTCGAGGACATGAAGAAACTGGTGTGCATAGATCAACAGAGACCCAATGTACCCAACCGGTGGTGCTCGGACCCGGTGAGTAGATCCGACCCAGAACCCCATTGTGTTTCATAAACCCGAAAATGTCTGTTGTCGACAGCATGGGCATATTTAAATGAGTTGTCCTTTAAATTACGGATAAGGTGAAGGCAGGGACGGATTATGGGTTGTGTGGGCCCCTGGGCAAAACGTTTGCGAGGGCCCCCCCCCCAACCACCACCACCACCACCACAACCACCACAATTCAAGGGCCCTTGGCAGCCAAACACCCTCCCTCCATGTTTCCATCAGAGGCCCTATAGGGTCAGGGGCCCTTGTAGGCAGAGGATCAAAGAATGTAGGCCCTCTAAAATAGACAAACGAAAATACATTGTTGATAAGCGTTGCAAATTGTTTTGGGCTAGGGGGGGGTCCATGGGCCCCCTGCACCCCAAGGGCCCCTGGGCAGCGGCCCCGCTGGCCCGGTCCGTAATCCGTCCCTGGGTGAAGGCTTGAATTGATGGGTGTCCTTACCTGTGTGTTCCAGACATTAATGGCCATCTCAAAGCTGATGAAGGAGTGCTGGTACCGAAATCCATCCGCTAGACTGACCGCTCTCCGCATTAAAAAGACTTTGACAAAGATCAACAACTCGCTGGACAAAATCAACTCAGATTGTTGAATTTCCTCCAAGAGGGAGACACCAAAGACCTCTGGCAGTCTGCTGGGGAGCTTCACTGGGGGGCTTCACTGGGCAGTAAGACGAGAGGTGTGGCTGAGGAGGCTTCCCCTGCTTCTGTGTGGCGGCAAACCTTATTTATCGTAAGACCCCAACAGGACACGTTTTGGCATCCAAAGAACATTTTGAGGGCTTTCAGAAGACTGCCGGTACTCTGAGGGGTAAAGTCACACTAACAGTTCAGTTCTTCAAGGAAGAAACGCCTTAGAGCTGCCCTTCTCACCATGACTTAATTTCCAGGAACGTTCGGAAATGGTTCCTCCAGCAATACGGATTAATGCTGCTGCACAACCAGCCTCCATTCCTGTGTTGCACTGTTCTGAGGAGCATTCCGGAATCAATCCTGGACCCCAAAAAAACAGGAAGTTAATCCTCACTATCTTTTTTTAGCTGAATAAAGAGTATCTGAAGACTCTAACAGCCTCACCTTTGCCAGTGTTGACAGCTAATATGGGTGTCGGTTCTTAACTGAAACCTGTAATATCTTAAATGCAGCAAAACAAGGAGCATGTGGCCATTACAGGCGTCCCCTACACGGCGTCACCTTGGCAATTTTGCCTCAGACACGTCAGAGCTCCCCTGTTCCTGCACTGTAACCTGTTAAGCTTTAATCAGCACAAATGCTGAGCAGAGAGCAAATAAATAAAGGAAATAAAATATACATGAAAGCCAATGATTCTGTGTGGGAGCAAAAGCGCTTTCTGTAAAGCTCTATTGTCTTAACCCAAAAATGTTAGTTGTAAAATGAAAGTATTTTGTTTTATAATATGTAGTGATTTCTATTAATTAAATTGGAGGAACATTTCAACAAACTTTTAGCTGCTTTATTTATTCACTTTATAACATACTGGTGTTTCTGTTCGGTTTGAGAATTATGGGCTGTACAAGTGACAGCCGCACGTGATAGTCAGCACGAAATTCATTCATGTCTATGGCTCTTTTGTTACTGCAATTGCATATTGTTACACTCTATTTTATTTTAATAATAAACTTAACAGCTAATACTAAAAGGTAATGTGGTCCTGAATGATACTTTACTTTCGACCTAGATGTTTTTATTTTTAAACTGATAAGAAAAATATGCATGCATTTTTTTTTTTTATCTACAATCACTGGGACCTTTTGCAGATAGGCAGAGCTTTTTACTAAACCAAGTTAGTTGTGGTGGGGGGGGCAGGGTGGTATCATCCATCCTGTAACTGCTTATCCTGGTGAGGGTCACCTGGAGCCTATCCCAGGCAGCACGGGGCTGGGGTGCACCCTGGACGGGATGCCGGTCCGTCACGGGCCACGGGGCTGGGGTGCACCCTGGACGGGATGCCGGTCCGTCACGGGCCACGGGGCTGGGGTGCAAGCTGGATTGTTTCAGCTCCTCGTGATACTGCAAATATTGGGATTTTCAAAAATTAGATAACAGTACAAAGGCAAGTAACAGATATATGTAACTGGACTGGCATGTTTGGATTCATTTTTGGAATATGGTTTGGAGCAATTCTAAGATATACTAGTCTACAGTAAATGTAGAAAAACCTATATTTGGTACTGTAAACAAATAAAAGACCTGAGACATTTCAAGACATATTTTTCAAACAGTAGACAGGAATGACAATTAGCCTATTGGGAATTTTATGGTGAGTCACGTAATTAGAACTTCCTGGGTCTTCACTTGGTGTAACTTACTTAAACACAAATCACCATAAGATTGCCCATTTACTTCTTAAAAACGTAGACCCAAGAACGTCTGACTCAAAATTAAATTAAATTTCCGTGATTTTAGATTAGTATGGGTCCTTCAGCATGACGCCAGGATTCGCGTGAATGATCAGGATCAGTAATCCTACAGATTTCAGACACCTGACAATGTGCAACGCTGGAAAACGAAGTGAAAAACTCGTTCGTGTTTTTGGCAGGATTTCTGACCCTCTGCTACTCTGAATACTTAGTAAAAAGTCCAAGAAAGTCGGTCGAAATATCACCCAGGGGTACGCGGTCATCTGTGATATGCGCGAAGGAAGAGGAGGTTAATCCTCTTTAGTGCCTGTCGGTCAGCCCCGTTCGGGGGCGGGACATGCGTCCTATTTGCGTGTTCATCTCCCTGCTTGTTTTTTGCCCGTAGAGTAATGCGAGCGAAGTGGGATGAAAGATATTTTTTTTCCGTTTCAAAGGCATCGTATGCATTTAAGTGCGGATAAAAGGCAGCGCTTCCCTAGATGAGTAGATGAGCTTCCTGCCATGGTGAGTCCGAGGCGCGCTGCCGTTGTCACAGCGCTGATCGCCGTGTCGCTCTCGCAGATCTGCACAGGTAGGTTGCGCAACCTCAGTGGGTCGGGAATGTATTTTTTTATATGAATGCAACACTTCGGAAAACAAAATCGGCTTGCACAGAATCAACAGGGACTGCCTTGAGATTGTTATAATCGGCCGAGAAAGGCTGCTGCTACTTACTTAATAACCTAATAATAATAATAATAATAATAGTATCATTCCATCCATCTATTCCAGACATAATGGGGCACAAGGGTGGAGTATGCCAATGCTGATCTGCTGTAAACCTGGACAACCACAAATACACGTGCAATACAACTAGAGTTTCTGTAGTATGAAGGAGCCTCAATTGAACGTGCCAGGGGCCTGATTTGCGAAGGCCCTAACTGGCATACAGCTCAAGATGTTTTTCACATTAATGTTACGTTGCTCTCAAAGACATTAGTAGGTAAAACACCCAGTACAGATTTACAATGATTCAATTCAACATGCATTTATAAATAATTATGGAATAATGGTTCATCAAATGAATATTGACATTATATATGACACGTTCTAAATGTCATGCATTTGACGGATCATTGTACTACAATTAAATATCATATATTGCCAACTATGCTGTGTCAAAAATTCCCATGCATATTTTTATGTTTTTTGTGGAGTTCATTTCAAAACATTTTTTAAATACCATACTAGTACATTTTCTGCATTGCTGATTTAGCAAATTTCCCCCAAACCTTTGTCCTTTTCACTCAGCATTTAAGGAAAAATGCCGCTTGGTGCCGATGAGAAGACGCAGTGCTACCAAGGAAGGTGTAAGCAAGGCAAGAATAAGATGATTTTTTTACAATATGAAGCTTGCACCTACAGGTGAAATGAGTAGCTAACCACGGCAATATTCATTTGACACAAATCATTTTACTACCTGTTTCTGTCATCATTTGCGTTATCTATAACTCCAATTGTCTATAGTGAAAACTTCACTATAGTTTTCAGCTACCCAGTCGTCCCTTATGATTGTAGACTTTAGGTATGGTAACACATAGGGTTAAAACAAAGCCGGTATCCAGGGGCGGACTGGCAACTAGATGCAGCTCAGGAATTTTGGGGGTGGGGGAGGTTCCCCTTGGTATGTTTTGCAGTGGACTGAGGTGGGGGGGAGTCCCTTTGGTATATATTGCCAGTTGCAATCAACCGGTTGGCCACAAATGATGAAATACAGCATTATCCATTAATCATCTCCTGTGATTAACCTGAAACATGCCGAGATCGACGGACAGCTTGGGCACCCCTGGTATAAAGACTATATCAGGCCGTGGCCGTCAAACTTCCCGATGACCAGTCTGCTCCTGCCAGTAGCTGAGAAATGCACCATATGTGGTGACATAACATTAGAAATATGATGGGATGGAAGTGAAAACAAGCCTAATTTTTGAACACAGGCAAAAATGAAAGATTATTGTAATTCTGTTACCATCCACTTGCCTTGTACTCATTTATTTTTTGACTATATATTTCAAAATCCTTTGGAACTGGACCGCGAATCTTCTGTTTAAGAATCAGAAACTAGGAAGCTACAGTGAAGCAGAACTGGCTTCATCTAATTTGTTTGAGTTTGTATTCAGTTTCAGTAATAATCACTTGAACTGATTAATTATCTTCTATCTATTATTAATTTTCGGAGTGTCTTCAGAGTGTTGGTTGTTTCTCGGGCTTAGTTACAGGCACTGTAATTTCAGACAGTTTTTAATTACCAAGAATGCTTTGTGGCATCCCTGAGTTCACTTAGTTTCTCAGCATGTAATTCCATTACCAGTCTGTAATTCCGTTACGTGTGAGTTCTCTTTAAACTGAAAGTCATCAGAAATAAAGCATGATAAGTGATAGAAAACCCTTCGGTTCATGGGTTTCATTATAGACTGTGAATATCTCAGCTGTTTATATCCATCAGCAATTCGGAGCATTCCGTTACACAATATTACGATTTTTTTTGTTACATTTTTGAGGTACTTCAGTTACCAAAATACCATGCCTTTTCCTTCATTAGTGGTGAAGGTTGCAACCCATTATGCAATATAATTTGATAGTTGGGATACAACAGCAGAGATCCGATGGTATTTTAAGCACTGCAAGTCAGTTATTTTCAATTTGTAGCCTGAAATGTAGCCAGTATTTCCTCTGATGGTGATTCGTTACAGTAGAACCACCCAAGAGTGTCACTAATTCTTTTGTTCACACGTTTTAATTCCTACTGTTTCTTCAATTAATTTTTGGCATCTTTTTTTCCCGTATTGTTAATCTCATCTCTAGAGTTTCTGCTCTTTAGTTTGGTGGCACTGCCCGTGCTTGGCACGTCAAATTGGCGTTCCACAAGAGCCAATGAAATACGCGCTGTGCTGCTGTGACTTTCTGCAGGGTCGCTCAGATGTGCCTGTTCCCCAGCCTTTCTAGGGTGGTCTTTGGTTGAAGGGTTTCTTGCGGTTTACTAACAACCATCATGGCCATGGTATGACATCTCTTTTGGGCTGTTTACTTGGAGGAATGACTTGTTTCAGGGCTCATTGTAAGAATTTCCCTGCTACTGACAATGTTTGCATATAATGATTGACAGATCTCTAAGATGTGTATGCAGAATGCCCCGCTCAACAGAGCACTGTTAACTAAAACCCTAATGGATGTGGGGCTGTAGATGTGATTGTTTTCTTAACTTATCCATTGGCTCTGCTGGATTCTGGGGATACTCACTAATGTCAGACAGGCCAAGGGGTGGGACCTCTGATCACGTCCTGCCCAGCAAGTCTACCTAACCCTCCTCTCTCCTCCCTCACATGACCCGTTTAGGCCACACCTGATTCTTTTTGCCCTGCGTTAGTCTATGTATTTAAGTGCCTGTTTTGTCTTTTCCTCGCTAGTCTGGTCATTGGTGTTGTATCATCTTGTTGCCTGTGCACTGTCCTCCCGTTTTGATCCCCCATGACCCCATTATTTCCAGTCTTTGTTCTTCAAGTTCAAACCTCCTTTTGTTTCTCCACCATGCCTGCCCCCCCCCAAGTCCTTTGTCCCGGTGGTCATGACAGTCATTAAATTTAATTTAATGCAGCAGTTTCTGATAATCCCAATAAAAATGGGCAGGAAATCTATAAGCCATGTAGAGTGGTTTGGGTCTGCTTATGATACGATTAACAGATATACTTTATATGACAGGTGCAAAAATACTTAGTAATAACTCAGTTGTTACTGAAGTACAAACCATGAATAAATTATCAACAAATATAGCCGCTACTTGAGATAAAAGACGTGTCATGATTCATTAATGATGAACAAACATGAGATCAGGTTTTCACTTGTGTTATTCATAACTTGTTCCTTCAGTAGTTCACAAAGGTTTACAAAATTAACAGATATAGTAACTGCTTGAGATAAAACATGCGTCACAATTCATTAATGATGAACAAACATGAGATCAGTATGTAACTAAGACTTAGTTTGTGGTTAATACATAAGTAATAGCATAATACTATACCAGGGGTGTCCAATCTTATCCACAAAGGGCCAGTGTGTATGCAGGTTTTTGGGATAACCTGTAGGTCAGCTGTTCAAACCCAGGTGTGAGGACTCTTTCAGCCAATCAGTCCTCTAATTAGTAATCTAATTAGGGAGTTGCAGCAAAAACCCGCATACACACCGGCCCTTTGCGGATAACATTTGACACCCCTGCACTATGCTATCTGTGGCACATCAAGTAAAGTGCATCCAAAAATATATAAGCTTGAGAGAACAGACCCGTTTAATGATCACACACTGTACCAGTGCTTTTACTTCCTGGCTTAACTAACTGCTGAAATACTTCCTCCAAATCCGATGATCACAGATAGTTTGCAAACAGGTCGCGATGCTGTGGGTGAGGGAGAAACGTTAAAAATAGACTTTGTCTTCTGAATCACAAACGACTGTCTCAACACATCAAAGTTCATTTGTATTTATTTGGAAAACCACTGAAACAAATGTTTAAAAGCTACCAGCCTACCATCAGTCTGATGTGACCCCGAGCCACATGAAACATTATCTGACCAGGAAACGACTTCACACTTGAATAAAGCTGAAACTGACGCTTCCTGTTTTCTTTTGGAATATAAGGTTGGACCTATAATTTGGTAGGGACAGCAGAACAGCCGATAACACTGGCATGTGTATGAATTCAGCTGTAGTCCCTGCTAGGATGTCCAGCAGAACATCAGGACCGGGGGTGTTTCTGATTATTGTGGCAGGTTAAGCAGTAATTACCCTGTTTACTAGAGATGAACTATATATAGGTTAACATTTCGGTATCAGCTGATATTCGTTAAAAATCTGTAACGTTCCGATGTGTCAATCTTGGCCGATATTACTGGCCGATATTTAGACTTAATCGATATTCAAAGTTGGCAGCACCAGAACCTGCAACACATTTTTAGGTAAGGGTTAATGCATGACTGCCTGTGTATTATACGTTTTTTAAAGCCCAGAGGTCTTTAGCTACACGTCTTAGCCAGGGGGTGGCTTTTACGTGCAAAGATCCATGACAGACAGTGGTTCATCTTGTATTGTGTTTAAACCCCAGACCGCTTGATAGTAGTGTTATCTTTTTTTCTGCTGTTTGACTCCAAAGTAACAACGTAAACTGACACAGAAAGTAGCGGAAGGGCAAACGTAGCTGATGGCTGTCTGAAAGATTTAGGCTGGCTCATTTTGGCAAACACTTTTGTACATATATACACGATATAAGCAAATGTTAATTCCTTTGCTCAGATTGCCCAAAGTAGTGATATGGTGTTGGATGTTACAGGAATTTCGATAAATGCTAATGTGGCTCCCACTGTTCTGATTGCATAGAAAGTAAACTTTTTAAACTCAGATTTTATGCATGTAGTGGTGTGTTCTTTATACTATGAGGGGTCTCCTAAAATTACATTTAAAAAATGGGAATACATGCCCTTGCTCGCAGTATCTCAATATATCACAATATATTGAATCGTAACTCCTGTGTCTCTCCCCGTCTTCACTGCACAGAGACTCTGCCTCTCTGGGAGGCTCATTTTATACCCAGTCATCTTACTGACCTGCTGCCAAATTACCCAATTAGTTCAGTATTCAACCAGGTGTTTTGTTGCATCACACAACTTTTACAATCTTTTGTTGCCCCTGTCTCAATTTTGAGAAGCGTTGCAGACATCAAATGAAAACTGAGCATATATTTGCCTTAAAACAGTAAAATTTCTGTTTCAACATTTCATATGTTGTCTTTGTTCTATTTTCAGTTAAATATGGGCTTATGTGATTTTTAAATCATTGCATTGTTTTTATTTCCATTTTACACAGCGTCCCAACTTTTCTAGAAACGAGGTTGTATATCTTATTGCCAGATTCTTGCCACTACACAGCCCTACTATTTTATGTTATTTTCTTTTATTGCATGAAAAAAGTAACTATATTTTTATATTTATGGTTTCCCTTATGGGGCGGATCAGGCTGCATTGTGGGCCGCATATGGCTTGGAGGTTGGACATTCCCCAACCCTGCTCTAAGCCAAGTGTGTAGTTAAGCACTCCAAGCTGTGCATTGTGTGTTTTAAACACACAGTTGCAGTGGCAAAGAAATGTAAACATATACATCATACAGCCACAATTTTTTTTTTATAAATTTTTAATTAGGCTTCATTTACCTCTTGGTATTCAAGGCTGGGCTTGAACCAGTGACCTTCTGATCACAGGCACCCCATGTGGTGCAGCTCTATGTTTGTGGAAATTATTTGATCTATCTTTTATTTTCCACTGAGGCAAAAAAAAACAATGTAAAGTCATTTTTTAGGCAAAAATATTATATCAGTCAGTATTGGTAAAATTTGCACATTGGTGGACCACTATATGTGACCCCCCCTTGGGATACAGTAAATAGGTCGTTCACATTGACAGGTTCATTATCACCCTTTTGTTTGAGTTCTGAGGGAATCGCTGACATAACAGACACTGCTGACTACCCCCAAAAAAAGGATGAGGACAAGCTATGTTAAATTCAATCCCACAGTGGTGGTTTCAGTGTGCCTAAAGGGGCAAGGGTCTCAGGGGGGGGGGCGCTAAGCAGCTTTACGGCACTCTGGAATGTGGGGCGGCATTACATAATGGCAGAATTCCCATTTAGGACACAGTGAGACAGCGGTTAGTGGCATGGAGCCATCTGGGAGAGTGTGGCTGGAGAGATTAGCAGTGTCCTCACCCCTCTTAGCTATTCCTGGCTGTGTGTCGTGCAGGCGAATACGCCCCGTGGTCAGGGCTTCTGAAGAGCGCCGCCAAACCTGCTGTTAATCTCCACCTCATCGCTCTATGTCGGCGGCCTCCTGACTGGACGTCTGGGGAAACGCATTATTAGGGGTACAGAGACAAGCAATAACTTATGGGTCTGCCAGCAGGATTAGGGTTGGTCGGGGGGTCATGGAGGTCATTTGACGTAAAACGTTAAGGAGAACTTGCTTGTTTGTCTTTGAAGGGAAGGTGATGTAGCTCTATTGACCTGAACAAATGCCTCCACAATGTGATAAAAACAGGTTATTTAGATGTGGTAACATTTGTTTCAGTCCCCACAAGGGGAAACTCAATTTTATGAAAAACAGTGTCTGCAATCAAAAAGCTACCAACAGTTTTGTATTTTGTTTGGTTATGTATGGTTAAGGTTAGGGTTGGGGAGGGGTTAAGGTCGTCATCACTGGTATTAGGGTTTTTCCCATAGAAATGAATGGAGAGTCCCCACAAAGATGTGTGTCTGCACTATGGAGGACTGATGTCCCACCCAGGGTGTCCCCTGCCTTGTGTCCCGTGCTGCCTGGGCTTCAGGTTCCCCATGACTGTGCTGGATTCACACTTACTAAGATGGATGGATGGTACAGGGTTAATGAACCAGCATGCACTAACTGCACGTATACACAATGACACTTTTAAAAGAAAAGGTATTTCCCGTTTCTGTATGTGTAACCTGTGTTTATGTGGACCTAGACAGTTCGGTTCTCCCTCCACCCTCCCAGGCCTGAAATGCTTGTGTGAGCTGTGCACCAACCACACGTGTGAGACCGGGGTGGGCGGGGCATGCTGGAACTCGGTCACGCTCGTGGATGGCCGGGAAGAGGTCGTCAAGTCCTGCCTGTCCCTGTTGGAGATGAAGGGCCAGCTCTTCTGTCATGGCTCCCACAATGTGTCCAAGAGGAGCTGCTGCTTCACCGACTTCTGCAACAACCAGACACTGCGCCTGCAGCCAGGTAGCATTCCAAGGCAACCCCTTCAGGGGGCGTGCAGGTTCAGCTCATGTGACTACAGTTCACACATGATCTGCAGATCCAGTGACATCACCAGGTCAGCTGAGGGCAGCTGTTGAGTATGAGTGATTTGACTGGTTTATAAATAGCCTGGAGTGTGCTGGTGTAGAAAACAAATCCCTCGTGATGATCTATTTTGTGATTGGTGGATCACAGGGAGGGGGTGTGTCAATGCTGCTTTGCCATGGCTTTCACGCAGTCCTGCTTCCTCCGGTCAGCATGGGAATTGAATAAAAACTAGACTTTATTCATCTGGCTCTCTGGACATCTTGTCCAATTGAGTCACAGTTAAGCTTAGAATGCTCACTCAGGCTGGGAGCTGGGGCAGTCCATAAGGAAACAGGGACCCACTTCCAGTAGCAATTACACTTTAATGGTAAAATACACAGGAGGAAATTCTTGAAATACATAATGTCATTGCATTGGCCGGGAATCGAACCCGGGTCTCCCGCGTGGGAGGTGAGAATTCTACCACTGAACCACCAATGCGAAGATATAGAATCATGTGACAATGGAAGATGACATCATTGGTGGGCGTAGACGCACTGTCACTGTCATAACCTGGGAGGTAGAGCTGGGCGGTATGACCAAAAATGTATCGATTTTTGACAACCCCAGTGTCTCATTATTTTCAACTCCAGCGTCAGCTATATCTAATGTTTCTGATCTTCTGCGGTACATTTTTAGCGGTGCAGCAATGAAAAGGGTCGCCCCTTTAAACAGTTTCCAGCTGTGCCACTTTCCAAACGTTTTGTAGGCTGTTTAAACTGGTATTGTGGTATAAGAAAAATTCATATCATAACATAACAATAATAAAAACGGTTTTTGGTATGAACCGGTATACTACCCAGCACTACTGGGAGGTTGTATTTACTAAAGGCAAACTAAACACCTTACTTTGTATAAGGTTTTTACTGGAATTTTAAGTAAACATCACATAACATAAACTTAACGATTGGCTAAGGCAGTGGTTTCATGATTAGTGGTACACTTTAATGATCCCAGGAGGAAATTCAAAATGTTATTGCATTGGCCGGGAATCTAACCCGGTCCTCCCGCGTGGCAGGCGAGAATTCTACCACTGAACCACCAATGCAAAGATATACAGTCATGTGACAATGGAAGATGACATCATTGGTGGGCTTAGACTCACTATTACTGTCATAACCTGGGAGGTAGAACTGCTAGAGCAAACTAAACACCTTACTTTGTATAAGGTTTTTACTGGAATTTTAAGTAAACATCACATAACATACACTTAACGATTGGCTAAGGCAGTGGTTTCATGATTAGCAATCATAGCAGTCATATCTCAAAAACCGCTAAAGATAGTAACTTGAATTTGTGTTTGTGTCTGTTTGATATCAAAACAACACATTCCCAATTTAAATCTA